TCATCTGCTGTTTTCTTTTGGACGCCTACTCGAACCATCCTGTCATGTTTTTGTAAGTGTTTTGATATTGTCTGCTGTCTTCAGGGCATTCAGTAGTTATTTTTCTCGTTTATTGATTGTAGATTTTTTGTCTCGTCCTTTTCTTTTATTTGGCTGTCTGTGCAGGTGGGCTGTGTGTTGTTTGTTCACCTGTGGGCATGATACTTTTTGCCTCCTCCAATTGGCAGGGTCAGTTACTCAGATATGGTACAGCAGGGCAGGTCTAGCTTAAGAGGAGTTACTGGGATGGGTTGTTTGTTGCACTTACTAGATCCACCAGGGTGGGTCGGCAATCAGTGCAGGGCAGGTTTCGGTAGGCCGTGCCTGTGCTGCTTGATGGTGTGATGTTAAGTGCATGGTGCAGGTAGGCAAGATAGAGGGGGGAGATTGTTATGTGTGGAGCTAATATGAATATGGGAGAGAGGAGATAGAAACAGTTGCCAAGAACATAGAAACAAAAAAGAGTGCTATGGGAGCTTGCCATTGGAGTGGAGAGCTGAGAGACTATGAAATAGAGAAAAACAAAAAGAGGAAGAAAAAGAAAAAAAAAGAATGAATAAATACAAATTAGAAAGGAAAAAGAACAGCAAAGCTCCCAGGGATCCCACCGGTGTGGCTACGAGGTCTGTGTGTTGTTCTCAGGTGTTGCAGTACAGCCTGGCTAGAAGGTGTAGAGGTATTCAGCACCAGGTATTCAGGGAACAGGAAGAGAAGGAAGTTATAGAGAGATGAGAAACTGAGTAATGAAGAAAGACAAAAAGGGAAGAAGAGGGAAAAGAAAACAAATTTAAAAAAAATTTTTTTAAAAAAAGGAACTAGAAAAGCCCCCCAAAAAAACAGAAAAAAAAAAAAAAACCCACGAAGAAAGAAATGCCCTCAGGGATTACTCTGCGTGTCTACGCAAGCCGAGGGGGTAGGTCCCAAGCCGTGCAGCATCGCCCGGCCAGAGCGGGCTCCCAACTTGAGAAAAGGGAAAGAAAATAAACAGTTCAAAACAAACAAAAGCCCTGGGATCCCACCAGCGTGGCAGCCCAGACTAGGAAGCCGCTCAATGCCCAAACGGAGCTCCGCAGCCCCTTAGGAAGAAGCAAAGATGGCACATGGAGCTAGGTATTTGAGCGAAAGAGGGGGAGGTGGTGAGAGGTATGGAAGAAATCAAAACAAGCGGAAAAAAACAACACCAGCTGCCAACAAATGGCACTCAGGGAGCCGGCCCCTGTGGACGGGTGGAATCCAAGCAGCCGGTGTTTCCCGGCCAAGAGACTGAGGCCTCGGGAAGCAGAGGAGGCCGAGTGGGGTGAAGAAGGGTAAGGGGTGCGAAAGCATGTATCACAAATTACCAGTTGTTTGGTCTCCTGCTGGAAGCTTCGTGAAGCTGCTTTCTCGTACCTCCTGTTTGCTGGTCTCTGGGAGGAGTTCAAGATGGTGAATCGGCACTGCATTAGCTGATAGGGGACCTCTGCATGAATCTCTCCACGCTCTCCATTCTCTGTCAGTTTTCTCACTCCATTTGGTGCTTGTCTGAGTTCTTTCTCTCTTCATTTGATGTTTTAGGGTTTCAGGATTGCTGTTTTCTTTGTTTGGCTTAGTTGTTCGGATCTTTTCTGTGGAGGGACGGCATGATGCTTCTGCCTAGAGCACCATTGTTATTTCTTGCTTTTTAAGGAAGCGCCAAATCAATTTCCAAAGTGTTTGTATCATTTTACATTCCCACCAACAATGTAGAAGTGTTCCAGTCACTCCACAACCTCTCCACCATTTGGTATTTTGTGTTTTTTGGGTTAATGCTAACCTTGTTGGTGTGAGTTGGTATCTCATTTTAGTTTTGATTTGCATTCCTCTAATGGCTAATGATCGTGAACATTTTCTAATGTATCTGTTAGCCACCTGAATGTCTTCTTTGCTGAGGTACCTTTTCATATCCTTTGACCATTTTTAAATTGGATTATTTATTTTTATATTGTTGAGGTTTTGCAGTATCTTGTAGATTTTAGAGATTAGACCCTGATTGTATTTGTTGTAGCCAAGAATTTTTTCCAGTCTGTAAGTTGTGTTTTTACTCTTTTGGTGAAGTCTTTTGATAGGCTAAGTGTTTGGTTTTTAGGAGCCCCCAGTTACCTAGTTTCTCTTCTGGAGTTCATGCATTGTTGCTTATGATTTGTATTCTGTTTATGCCGTGTATTAGGGCTCCTAGTGTTGTCCCTATTTTTTCTTCCATAAACTTTATCATTTTAGATTTTGTATTTAGGCCTTTGATCCATTTTGAGTTAGTTTTTGTGCATGGTGTGAGGTATGGATCCTGTTTCGTTGTTTTGCAGATGGATATCCAGTTATGTCAGCATCGCTTGTTAAAGAGACTGTCTTTTCCCTAATTAATAGAGTTTGGGCCTTTGTCAAATATTAGCTGCTTATAGGTGAATCAGTTTATGTCTGGATTCTCAATTCTGTTCCATTGTTCTACGTATCTGTTGTTGTACGAGTACCAGGCTGTTGGCTACCGTGGCGATATAATAGGTTCTAATATCAGGTAGTGTGAAACCTCCCACTTTGTTCTTCTATTTCAGTAATGCTTACTAATCCAGGGCCTCTTCTGTTTCCATACGAAGTTAGTGATTTGTTTCTCCATCTCATTAAAAAATGCTACTGCAGTTTGGATCGAAATTGAATTCTGTCTGTAGATTGCTTTGGGTAGAATTGACATTTTCATAACGTTGAGTTGTCCTGTCCATGAGCAAGGTAAGTTTTGCCATTTATTTAGGTCTCTTTTGGTTTTTTTCAGTAGTATCTTGTAGTTTTTTTTGTATAAATCTTTTACATCTCTGGCTAGATTTATTCCTAAATATTTTGGCTTCTTAGGGGCTGTTGTAAATGGTATTGATTTGGTGATTTCCTCTTTGAAGTTCTCTTTGTTGGTATAGAGGGATCCATTTGATTTTTGTATGTTTATCTTGTATTCTGATACTTTGCTGATATCTTCTATTAGTTCCAGTAGTTTTATTGTGGATTCTTGGGGTTTTCTGTGTATAAGATCATATTATCTGCAAATAGAGATACTTTTACTTCTTCCTTACCAATTTGGATGCCCTTTATTTGTTTTTGTAGCCTAACTGCTCTGGCTAGGACCTCCAGCACAATGTTGATTAAGAGTAGTGATAAAAGGCATCCTTGTCTGGTTCCTGTTCTTACAGGGAATGCTTTCAGACTCTCCTGATTTAGGATGATGTTGGCTGTTGGCTTTGTATAGATGCCCTTTATTATTTTGAGGAATTTCCCTTCTGGTACTATTTTGCTGAGAGTTTTTATCATGAATGGGTGGTGAACTATGTCAAATGCCTTTTTTGCATCAATTGATAAGATCAGGTGGTTTTTGTCTTTTGTTTTATTTATGTGATGTATTGCATTGATTGTGTTTCTAATGTTGAACCATCCCTGCATACTTGGTATAAATCCCACTTTGTCATATTGAATTATTTTTTTGATATGTTGTTGAATTCCATTGGTTTGAATTTTTGTCAAGGATTTTTGTGTCTGTGTTCATTGGGGATACTGGTGTGTAATTTCTTTTTGTGTGTGTGTGTTGTGTTTGCCTGGTTTGGGGATCAAGGTTATGCTGGCCTTATAGAATGAGTTTGGGAGTATTCCATCCTTTTCTATGCTCTGAAATACCTTTAATAATAGTGGTGTTAACTCTTCTCTGAAAGTTTGTTAGAATTCTCCAGTGAAACCGTCAGGGCCAGTTCCTTTTTTTGTTGGGAGTTTTTTAATTACCTTTTCAATCTCTTCTTTTTTTGTAGGTTTATTTAGTTTTTCTTTCTCTGTTTGTTTTAGTTTAGGTAGGTATTGTGTTTCTAGAATTCTGTCCATTTCCTCTAGGTTTTCAAATCCATTGGAGTACAATTTTTCATAGTATTCTGTTTTGATTCTTTTAATTTCAGTTGGGTCTGTTGTGATATCGCCCATCTTATTTCTTATTCATGTTACTTGGTTCTACTTGAGTTTTTCTTTTGTCAGTTTGGCCTGTGGTTTGTAGATTTTGTCGATCTTTTCATAGAACAAGAATTTGGTCATGCGAACTGTTTAGATTGTTTTTCTATTCTTTCATTTAATTCTGCTCTAATTTTTATTATTTGCTTTCTTCTGGTGCCTGAGGGTTTCTTTTGCTTCTATTTGTTTGAGTTGTAGGGTTAATGTTTTGATTTTGGCCCTTTCTTCTTTTTGGATGTGTGCATTTATTGCTACAAAGTGACCTCTGAGCACTACTTTTGCTGTGTCCAAAAGGTTCTGGTAGGATGTGTTTTCATTCTCATTTGATTCAACGAATTTCTTTTTTTCTACCCTTAATTTCTTCTATAACCCAGTACTTTTGAGCAAAGTGTTGTTCAGTTTCCATGTGTTTGATTTCTTTGGAAAAATCAAGGTTTCATCTTTAACTGTGAAGAGTCCTTTTATAAATTAAATGGTTTGTACCTGAAGAGGCATTTTACTTTATATTTGGTTATAAGTAATAGTAATATTTAACGTATAATATTTAAATTGTTCAATTTCAAAATCCAAGAAGTACTTTTTTTTTCGTTTTTTTGATAGATGTTAGATTACAATGAATATCATCAGCCTTTCAGGTTAGTGTTATTTAGTTTTGGGGGCTGTTTTATGTGGGTACATTCCTTTAAGTTTAGTGAAGGAAGATTGAAATATCTGTACTGAGTTTGGTGGGTTCTGTTAGATAATATTTGGCTTAGGATCTGTTGAATCTTCGATTTTGTGTTACTTTTGGATTTTGTGTCAAAATATAAAGTTACAGGTAATGTATGCAAAATGTTGTTACACTGAATATAATCAGAAGAAAATAGAATAATAGGAATATACAAATATGTTCTTTAAGAAAAAATTCTGCAAATTTTTTTATTTCTCTTAATTTTTCAGCCAAAGTCTACAGAAATTTTGGAGTATTCATCAGATAGCGGAAAAGAAGATGACTCAGAGAATGTCTTGTTCATTGATTCAGAATCCCCTCACAAATGCAGTGTGGATTTTGGAACAGATGCAAGACAGTATATGGAGAGACTGGTAGAGCCCTGGACAAAATCTACAGAGACTATTTTGTATACACCCCAGAAACAGAAAAATAAGTTTCCTCGGACTCCAGAAGATTCAACAAAGAAGAAGAAACTTATAAGGTTATATTATGCCTGTTTAAATTTTTTTTTCCAGTTTTTGTCTTTTTTTTAAAACCATGATATCTAAAATGTTATTATTAAATTACTTGTTTTTTTAGGGAAAAATTGGCAGAAGAAAATTGTAATTCCAATAAGCAATAAGAACGGCCTGACTTCTAGAAATGATTTATGGAATTGTTCATCCAAGTTGAGCATTCACTGTCTCATTCATAACAAGCTTACATGATTGCTTTTGTTCATGGGGATTTGTTGTTTGGCTTATCAAATTTTATTGAACATCAGTGTTCTAGGAGCTGTGTTAGACAGTAGAGACAAATCACAGCTCTTGTTCTCTAGTAACTTACAGCCCAAAGAGGGAAATAGAAATAAACATAGACCATCTCAAATTACTTTTATGAATATGATGACAGATAGGCCATGGCACCATTTACAAATACAAAGAAATATAAGACAGATCAAATAGTTGTGAATAGGAAACAGGTTGGTGTGCATGTGGAGAAGCACAGGAACATCCGTGTTATTAGAGTGTCAGGTTTGAGGGAGGAAGTGGTGGATGACAAGGCTGGAGTGTCAATCAGTGGCTGGATCCTAGAGGGCCAAGTAGGACATGAAAAGGAGCCTGGAATTTATTATGTAGGACAAAGCGTTCCAATCCTGTTTAATACAAGGACTCTTTGTTTTTAATTAAAACAAAACAAAAACCCAATGGGAAGGTAGAAGAAGAACCTCCAGGAAGCAATGCCAAAATAGCAAATGTAGTGGCAAGTTTCAATATAAAAGAAGTTTCAGTAGAAAGAGTAAGCATGGTAATGAAGAGCACAGGTTTTGGAACCCAAGTATTATGTCACTATGTCAAGAGAGGTCCAGTAAGATGAGGACTGAGAAAAATCCAGTGGATTTGGCATGTGGAATATAGGGGAATATAGACATGAGGGATGGGGGACAGTCCTGTAGCTCACTCTTAAGAAGCTTGGATTAGAAGGTAGAAAGAGGGAGGGGAAAGTAGTGAATAGTAGCTTAAAGGAATCCAGAGCTTAAAGAGGTTTAGGAGAAAAGGAGAGACATACTTAGAGAATAGTGGAGAGGAGCCAGTGGAGAGACAGAGAAGTTGGGGATAATTGCTCTGTCGGTGTCCTGGAAGGTGGGGGGACTGAGAAGAGAGATCCATCCTGAGCTTAAACGTTTAGGGAACAGTAAAAGGATGTTATGGCATGTAGGGGTGGGTGGCATTGGGGACAGCAAACTGAGTCGGTTCGTTCCTGATCACCATAATTTTTTTTTTTTTTTGGTAAAATAAGACCTAAGGCCTTATGCCCAGAGTGAAGAAGTTGCGGCCTCAAAAGCAAAGGTGGTGGTTTGTAAAGGTCTCTCAGGAGAATGCAAAAGGAAGTTGATTAAAGGGATTTGGATATCTTATTGAAGAAATTAATGCCATTCATTTAGAGAAAGTGATGTCCTATTGAGGGGCGACTGTGCACTGAGCAATGCTTCACATCGTGGAGAGATAGCACTGAACAAAAGTGACTGAAGCCCCTGCCTGCGTGGAGGGGAAGGGTGACAATAAGCCAATAAGTAAAACAGAAGTAATGTCAGAAGGAGGCAAACGTTATGGAGAAAAGGCAGAGAAGGAGGATAGAGAATGTTCCAGAGGTAGGGAAGGGCATTTCAATTTTAAACAGGAGTCTCAAGGAAACCCCCCTCAAAAGGTGACTGTTATGGATTATGTTGTGTCCCAGAAAAAGATATATTTAAGTCCTTACCGTTGTACTTGTGAATGTGACCTTGTTTAGAAGTAGGGTCTTTGTAGATGTTATCAGTTAACATGCACTCATGCTTGAGTAGGGTGGTTCATCAAGTGTCAGTATCTAAAAAGGAAAAGAGACAGAGGGAAGACAACTATGTGAAGATGGAGGCAGAGATTAGAGTGATGCATCTACAAACCAAGGAACACCAAGGATCATTGGCCATCACCAGAAGCTAGGAGGGAGACATGGAACAGATTCTCCCTCAAAGCCTCAGAAGAAATCAGTATGGCTGACACTCTGATCTTGGACTCTTGGCCTCCAGAACTGTGAGACAATAAATTTCTGTTCTTATCAGCCACCCGCTTTGTGGTACTTTGTTATAGCAACCCTAGAAACAAAGATAGTGACATACTGAGCAGCTGGAAAAATGGAGCTGCCATTTCCTGAGACGATGTGACCTGGGTGGGGGAGGGTGGTAGTGCAGGGCATCAGGTGACATTTTTGTTTTGTTTGCCTTGGTGGGAAAACCTGGAGCTTTTGAGCATGTTGAGTTGACATGCCTACTGTTTATCTCAGTGGAATTTGCATGTGGACTTCACAGGAAAGCCCTGGTGCCATAGGTATAAAGGGGTAGGCCTTAGTGCACAGTGGGTTTTTGAAGCAGGAGTTGGATGTGTTTTCAGGGCATCAGGTGCAGATACGAGAGTCTCCCAGGGCCTGAGCCTAGGTACTTTGTCTGCAAAGGTTGAGGCATTGCGGAAGAAGCCACTGAGGGAGGAAGAAAAGCTAGGGGAGTGTGGTGCCCTGAAAGCCAAGTAAAGTAGTGTTTTTGAGGGGGAGCAAGGGTGATCAAATATTTCACATGCTGCTAGGGAAAATATAATGAGGACTGAGAGTTGACTGCTGGGTTTTCACTGGGGATTTCAGGGGTATGTGGAGAGGAACAGTTTCAGTGGGTGATTGGGCAAAGCCAGATTGCTATAGGTTCTCAGAGAGAAGGGAAGAAGAGAAATTGAAGAAGTATAGAAAACTCTTTGAAGGAGTTTTGCTTTAAGGACATCAGAGAAGTGGGGCGTTAATTGGAAGGGATGAGAGGATTGAGATTTCTTTTTTTATGTGGGGAGAAATTGCAGCATGTTTATTTGTTGATGGGAAAGGCCCAGTGGAGCAGGAGAGAGAGTGGGTGGTTGATGGATTGCTGTCTTTGACTGGAGGAAAGGAGTACAGAGCCAGAGGGTAGCGCCTGGGTCAGGGGCATGCACAATGCCCCATGTAACGGGTGAGGAAAGCAGATGCAGGTAGGTAGGTATGTGGTAAGGGGAAGTTATAGAAGTTGTTTTGTGATTTCTTCTATGTTCTCTCTGAATTAGGAAGTACATTTGTCATCTGAGTGTGAGGATGAGGGAGGGATGTGTTGAAAGTTTGAGAAGAGACAGCATATGAAATAGTCACATAGTGAGTGAGTGAGTGCACTAGGAGAATGTACTGAGATTGGCTAGCAGTACGAGGCCATCTTGAGATTGTTATTCCGATTTACAGTAACCCAGTAGGACAGAATAGAACTGGCCCATAAGATTTCCTAGGCTATAATCTTTACGGGAGCAGATTGCCAAGTCATTTCTCCTGGGAAGCGGTTGGTGGGTTTGAACCACCAACCTTTCGGTTAGCAGCTGATTGTTGTTGTTTGGTGCCTTGGAGTTAATTTTGACTGATTAGCAGTCTTGAATTTGTTCAGGATTGAATATTAGTATGGTTGTTTCTGTCTAGCCACGTTTAACCCTCGGGCTGCAGATGTGGAGCAAGCAGAAGGTAGGGCTCTGTCAAGTAAGTGCATTGATAGGAGTTGGAATAGAGCTTCTAATACCCCAAACTAAGCTAGAAACTCAGAATAACAGCCAAGGGCTCCAGATACTCACATATGTAGAGAACTCTACTGTCCTGGTGTAGATGCTCTCATTTTTATACTTTTTACCTTTCATCTTATAATTGTTACAGTTTATTTGTGAAATCCTGGGGCTTGACCTTAACCAGATACTGCTATCAGATTGTGTTTTGTCATCGTTTTTTAATCTGTAAAGTTATATCATGGGATCAGTAACATTTAGCCAAGATGTAGCTAAATAGTTGTGCAAAGAATAAAGTGTTTTGACTTTTTCATCTATTAGGTTATGAGTATCATTTTAAGTAGTTCCTCTTTAAGTTGTAGTAGGTATGTCATCAAGACTGAGAGTATGGGCTTTTTTTTTTTTAATTTTGGTGAAAACACACCCATTCATCAGGTTCTACATGTACAATTCAGAAACATTTGTTATATTCTTCATGTTATATCAGCATTCTTGCTATTGTACTGTTGACATTTTGAGATCATATAGATAATTTTTAAAAGAATGTTCAAGTCAGACATTCTTTATTAATTTAGCTTTTAAGGATAACTACTTGGGATAATTTTGGTTTGTGGTTTGAAGATTTTCTCAGAGCAGTAGATTCAGGGGTTCCTCCAGTCTCAATAGATCGAGTAACTCTAGATTCTGTAAGAATTTGAAATTCTGCTCTATACCTTTTTTTCCCTTTTAATCAGGATTCATCTATTGATTCATTGATCAGAAAGTTCAGTAATGGTAGCCAGGCACCATCCAGTTCTTCTGGTCTCATGGCTAAGGAGACAGGTAGTTCATGGAAGCAGTTAAACCTGCAGTCCAATTCCTTCTCCACTTCCTGGGTCTCCTTCTTCCTCTGCTGCTCCAGGTGAATAGAGGCCAATTGTTGTATCTTGAATGGCCGCTCAAAAGCGTTTGAGACCCCAGGCGCTATTCACCAAACTAGGGAGTGGAACAGTAATTCTAAAAAACAGTGTTAGGCCAATTGACTGGACAGTCCCATGAAGCTATAACCCTGTAGGTTCGAATCAACAGAGCTGTTCCCGTGAGGTATTTGGTTGTATTTAAGTAGTATCAGCAACTTTAGCCTATTTGTTTATTTTTGGTTGCTGTTATTATTGTAAAATTATATATAACAGTATTTGCCATTTCACCCTTTTTCTGGTGTAGAACTTAGCGATATCAGTTACACTAATAAAATTGTGCAACTATTACCCTTAATCGATGCCAGGGTTCCCATCATTATAAACAAAACTACTAATTCCAAGAGAATAATTCTTTCTCTCCCTCTGCCCTCCTGCCTCAGGTAGCCACTAATACCCATTGGTCTCTATATTTACTTATTCTTGTCTTTTCATTTAAGCGAGATCATACAGTA